TTGTGGAAGATGAGTGAATGGTTCAACTTTCGCTGTTGTGCTTTCATAACCGTCCTGAACGGGGAAGTTCACGGGGCTCAGCACGCAAGTCCTGCTCAGGGGGTGTGTGGGGTGTATTTGCATGCAGGTCATCTCTCTGCCCATTGAACACTGTTCTCACAGTGGGATTTATGGAAATGCCACACTCTCCAGGGTTAGTGCTGGCTAGGTTTGTTTTCTGGCCCTTTCTTATTGCACATTGGATGAACAGCCTCAGGAAATGCATTGAGTTGTCACAGAAAAATCCGAATATGTACACATCACGTTCTACAGTTGGACTCCCTTAAACTGATTAAGTTTGTATTAATGTTTCCTACTGAGCCATTGAAACTAAGCCCTTTGGTTGTTCAGCAAGCATATTTTTAATTTTTATTTTTCCTTAGATTGCAATGAAAATTCCAGTTGAATGTGACATGGACTCCATGATCTTAAAGGTGTTTTCCAGCCTCAGTGATTCAGTGATTCTGAAGCAGTTGGGGTTTAGCCAAGATACTTTCCCTTCTGTCTGCAAAAGGGCAGTCAGCTTGTTTGGTGTGTTAGTGTCACTGCCTGTGGGTGTAAAACTGCCCTGGCAGGATTCAGGTAAGCTGTCAGGCACAGTTCAGGAAGGATTTCTTCCTGGAAGGGGTGGTCAGGCACTGGAACTGCCCAGGGAGGTTTGGAGTCCCCATCGCTGGAGGTGTGCAGGGAATTCCTGGATGTGGCTGGGCAGTGACAGGGTGGGGATCGGGCACAAGTTGGGCTGGATGGTCTGGGAGGGCTTTTCCAAGCCTCAGGGATTCTGGGATCAGTTACTGGGCTGCATGACAAGGGGGGCTTTTAATGAAGGAGTTGGTATTATTGTGGATAATGTGATGTGTTCCTGTAGGACACTGGGGCAGGAGATGTAGATGCAGCGCTGCTTACTGGAACCAGGGGCAGGAAGAGCTGCTGCTGGCTGCCCCTGCCTGCCCACCCTCTGCCTGGGCTTTGGACACTCTGAGTGTGGCACTGTGCAGGGCAGGGCCAGAGGGCAGCCAGAGGAACCTGCCCAGTACCCCTGCCAAATTTAATTTGGTGTTAATTGCCTGCAGCGTGTGCCGTCAGTCTTCCTCCTTTGTTCCAGAAGCTGCCAGCTAAGGCCGTGTGAGCTCGTAGCTTTTGAACATCCTCTCTCTTGTGTTCAAAATGTTCAGAGTGCCCTAAGAGGCCAGAAGAGCAGGGTTTTACCAAAAACCACTCACTGGCCTTTTTTCCTCCCATGTAAGCCACTGTCTTTTCTCAGTGGCAACAGCGTTTATTGTTTTCCTAAAACCCTTTAAATGACTTTTTTTAAGGACTACTGCTTCTGTGAGAGTAGAGAGTAAAGCTTTGTTTTAGAGAATGAAAGTCTGTCGCAAGGAAACAATAGTAGATGTAAAGTGTCTGACCAAAAAAGGCTTGAAAAATCATTTTTTCCCTCTCAAAATAGAATTTAGCAAGTCTGTCTGACCCAACTGCTCATTACCTGTGATCTTAATCTGTTTGTGAAATGCAGGAGCTGAAATAAAACCCCAGCATTGGTATCAAGTGATCACAACAAAGTCAGGCTCATTTTAAGGAAAACTCATTTGAAGAGTCTCAGCGTCAGTTGTGCTTTGTGCTCCTTTGTCCTCAGCTGAGGTTCTTTGCCTTGTGGTCACATAAATCAAGTGCCTTTCCCAGTGCTGAGGCAGCCCTGCTTTCTGCAGCAGCCTGCTCTTGGCTCAGGGATTTCTGGAGTCAAGGCCAAACCCTTGGCTGTCCCCTGTGTCCCCTGCTTGTGGAGCGAGCCCGTCACACTGCGCCAGGGTGGTGTTTGCTTTTGGGAGCAAACATGGGAGTGTGTCTTGTGTTTAAAAAGAAAAGGAAAAGATGAGTTTTTGGGAATTCTGCCCTCCTGCGGTGAGCTCCTGAGGGTCTGTTGGGCCTGGAACAAACAAGGAGGTCTCTTTAGAAGCGCCCTGTGAGAGGCAAGCAGGGGTAGTGCCTACCTTGGAGTTGGGCAGGTGCTGCATGCTCAGGTAGCAGCAGCTCCCTGGGAATTCCATGGGTTTTTGGCAGCATGCCGTTGGGTTTGGGGTTTCTCCATGGCTTAGCACATCCATTTGCTGTGAGCATGCTGGGGTGGGACTGGCAGGAGGCTGTGGTGGAGAGCTTCCAGGTGGCAGGCGCCCAGTGCATGGAGCACCTCTCATTCCCTGCCTGCTGCTGGCCCTGCCAGCTCTGCAACGCTGCCCTGCCCTTACCTGCTGCCTAGAAATGCTCGGGATGAACTGTTTAGTCAAACATCCCCAGCAGCAGCTGGCTCTGCTCTTTGTTGCCAAAACTTGGTAACTCCCCAGTTTGCAAAGCTGTAGCTTGACAGCAGCAATGTGGAGTTGTTACACTGCAAGATTCACAGCTCAGGATCCACTGGAGGGTTGCCACATGACCATGCATGGGATTTCTGGTGGGTTTTTTTCCTGTGCAGGGCTCATTGGGCTGCAGAGGGTTTCTTTTCTCCATCCCAAGTGCTTGGAAAGGCTCTGAGGAGCCCCTGAGAGCTCAGCAATACAAACAGGTCCAGACCAAAGGAGGATGGGGCCCAGGAAGAGCTGGACCTGCGCCACGGCTCATGGATTGTGGGTTTTGCATGTGTAGGTGGAACAGATCCCATGAATCATAAAAAAGCTTCCTCCTTTTCTGTCCTTCAGATGAGGGACATTTGCTGTCAGCTGAGCGGGTTTGGATATAAATTCTGTCACTTTTCTCTGAAGCTCAAAATCACCAAAAGGAAAGACTGTGTGATAAAAGTGCTGCACATTTCCATGCAGCTCCTGCTCACAGACAGCAGCCCTCCCCCAGCCAGGCACATGGTTATGGGATCAGCAGGAGCCAGTGGGAAGGGTTTGTGCGTGAGGGATTCTCATAGATGAGGGTCTGAAAATAGGCCCTGCTACTTCCCAGGATCTCCTTTGTTCACAGATTTATTGGGTTCTGGGGAATAACTGCATTCGAGTGGAATACAGGAAAATATGATTATTGCCTGTAGCTTTGCAAGAGGGGGAGACACTTGTTCATTCACACAACAAATCACTGGGTGCACCTGCTCCCCTGTCCCCTGTTGGAGGGGCAGCTGGCACAGTGGGTGCCCAGTGGATGGAGGGTGGTGACTTGTGTCTTCTGCTTCCCTGTGTGTCCCCACTGCAGGGCCAGTTGTGCGTTTGAAGTGCAGCTCTACAAGGCTGGCCCTGGTGAGATGTTGCTTTGTGCATCCTGTGAGGGGGCCTTGTATGCCTCAGTGGGCAGAGCATGAGACAAACGTGGCTCTGACGTTGCCAGGGCGCTCCAAAGTGTTCCTTTGGGGAGTAATTTTGTCCCTCTTTCAGAGCACTGTGGTCAGAGGGCTCAGGTTACCTAAAGATCACATTCCTGGTGGAATTAATAAATGCTGACAGATTAACTGTGGAGCTGGAATTTTCAGTTATGTTCCAGGCTTTGGAGGAAATATGTTCAAGGCTCTTTTGTTTGTTTTACTAATTTTTCTGCTCTGTCCCTAGAATTGTCCTGTTCTGCTTGCTTTCTTTTTTGGGAAAAGCCCTGGGTGAAGCAGTGCTGTGTCCTGTGATAGGTGGGAGCCGTGGTGGTGCCTCTCCAGGCCCTAGAGCCCCCTTGGCTTTGGTTTTGGGCATGGGTCAGGATTTGCCTGTGCTCCAGGGGTGAGGCAGGGTCAGCCAGGATCCTGCAGGCTGGCACAAAAGCTCTGCTGCCCTTGGAGCCTCTGCTGCGTGCCCAGAGCTGTGGGGTGTTCATGTGCGCTGTGCTGCAGGAAAGCACCATCGCTGCAGTTCCTGCATGGCCGCAGGGCCGAGGCAGCGATGCCCGATCATACCCACACGGGACAGAGGGGTCAGCCTGCTCAGAGTGCTTTCGTAACAACAAGGCCACAATGGGAAACACAGAATGAAGAATTTGATAAAAGGGAAGGCTCAGGTGCAGGGAGGAAGTCCTGAAGACAGGGCAGGTGTGTTTTAGGGTTTTTGGCAGGAAATGGAGGTGACAGACACGGACACTTGAGGGACTGTGGGGGGAACTGAAACAGCCCCGTGTCCTGGTGTGTCCCCATGTGTGTCCCACCATGCCCTGGCCAAGGGGCTGGGCTGGCACTGCAGTGTGCTGTTCCCAGAGGTGATGCTGACCTTGTCACCCACGCGTGACAGCCCTGCTCAGCACCTTCCTGCAGCTGCCCTTTGTGTCGCTGTGAAACTGCAACGAAAACAGCCACAGCACCCGAGGGGCCTGAGGGCAGGCAGGGGTTTTACCTCTTTCTCAGAATATTCCACACATTCATCTTTCTCTTTGTTCCTGCTGGTTTTTGTCTTTATGTAATGACAAAACAAAGCATCTTTACTTCAGGACTTTGTGTAGGTGCATTTCTTACTTATTGTAACTATTTTTTTCCTTACTAAAAATGCCAAATTAAAAGCTGTTGTTGTTTACTGGTGTGAGATTCTCTCTCAAAATAAAATGTGTTAGGATGTTAGATAGCAGCATATAAAAGAGCTATTTAAATATAACAATTCTATGATATGTCTTAGGTAACAATTGGTTTTGCTGTTAATGCTGTATTTATTTTTATCCACCCGTGCTTTGACATTGGCTGTTTACTGTCCTTCTTGCAAAATCAGGATGCAGCATGTTTATTTTAGTTGAGACAATCTAGTTTTTTTATATAAATATGTTCTGGAATTAAAATTTAAGCCTTTGTTAGCAAAGCCTGAACACAGTGTTTAATTTGGTGATGTCACTTACACTCACTAAATACACATTTCTCAGATTTACAGGAACTTTGTGCACGTCACTCTGATAATCCTGTCCATACGTTGCTTCACCAAGCAAACAGACACACCTGAGTCTTCACAGCCCAAACCCTCCCCAGCCTGCTGGTCACCTGTATTTATTAATCCTTTTCTTCCTTCCAGATGAAGCTGCAGAACAACATCTCGTATCAGATGGCAGACATACATCGGCTAAAGGGTGAGGGATTCATGGCCAGACTCACTTGGCAGGCTGAAGTTGTGCATTTTAGCTGCCCAAGTGTTGCAGAATGCAGTATGAATGAAGGATCTGGTGATGCTGGAACTCGTAATTTCACATTTCTCATAATGGGAAATCTCACTGTGTTTGTTACCTGGTGTGGGTAAGTGCAGAGCTGGCTCTCACCTTGCTGCAGAAAGCATGTGTGTTGGCACTGCTGAGTTACAAGACAGTAGAATCATTTTCATGGCCAAACATGCAGTTTAGTAGAGTTTGATCAGAAACACTGTGATTGTTATGCCAGGTTAGAAAGGGTCCAGGACACATCTCTGCAGTTCTGTGCAGGCATGATTATAATGCCTGGGGTGTTGCTCTATTCAGAGCACTTCAGAGGGAGCCAGAACGTGATCACATCTGAACATGCCTGCACACAACACACATGGGCTCTGCCTGTATCCATGTAGCTGCAGCTTCAAATAGTAGGGAGCTTCATTATTCCTAGCCTGAGGGGCAGGGAGAGCTTCTAGAGCAGTTGTGAAGATGAGAAATGTGTGTTGACTTTACGGGTAGCAGAAGGGTGCCTCCTTTTGTACACTCACTGCCACAAACGGTGTTTGAGCATCCTGCCTGGAGCAACTTGGCAGCACTTCTGTGTTACTCAGTGACAGAGCCATTCAGGAAATTATGGACATTTCCAGCAGATAAGGGAAATAGCGTTGTGCAAGGTTTCTGAAGGCAAAGGTGCAGAAACACTTAGGGAGATGGGCATAGTATCAGAAGAATTTGTCTCTAATTCATGCTGCCATCTGGGACACATGAGTAAAGTGGCATCTTCTTCAAATTGGTTTAAGAACCTTTAAAGTATGTCTAGACTTGAAACTTGAGCAATGTGTTACTTAGTTAGCAATATTGGAAATGCTATCTGCCACGGGACATTTTTTCTTATCTTTCTGTATTCATGGTGGTTTTGCTCTTTTGGCGCAGAACAACTGGCAGAGTTGCGGCAGGAGTTCATCCGGCAGGAAGATCAGCTGCACGAGTACAAGAAGAACAACACGTACCTGACAAGGAGGCTGGAGTATGACAGGTATGTCCTCAGGAGTGTTGGCAGCTGCAGCCTGGTGTGTGTGAGTGGGACCTGTATTTACTAAAAAGTGCTAATTAGTCTCGTGTCTGCTAATCGTCAAACATGTGTGCGCTCATTTGGTGATGCACCTGAGCTGAAGGTTTGACTTTCAAGTTCTTTGTGATGTTGTAGTCCTTCCCCAGCGTGAGATAGGAGCTAAGGAGAATCTTGACTTAGTGGAATCGTTCTGCATTTTTAAGTCAATGTATTTTTTATAACATGGAGATTTAGCTCATTAACACATGAAGGAGTCTAAAGGACACAGTCCTGTGTCACCAGCATTGCTAATTGCTGCCTTTCTAGCAGTGTAGTTTCATTTGTTTCAGCTGAAGCTGAAAGCACCTTGTGTAGATTGAAATTTTAAGTTGACTTCAGCCCTTTCAGTTGATGATAGAGAAACAGGGAGAACAACTACTCCTGCTCTGAGGAGTGAGGAAGATTTGACTCTTGAGAAAGTGTTTAAAACTTTTACACTCATAAAGTTCTGTGCTATGCTGAGACTTTGTGGGACATGGGAGTTTTGGTGACTGGGCTGATGTTGTGGCTTGCTGGGGAAGTTGGGGCAGCTGGCTGTGTATTCAGATGGTGTTATTTGAGTTGGGAGCAGTAACTGATAGTGGCACTTGTGCACCTTCTCTGTTGACAGCCAGGGGAGACACGTTGCTTTCCCAGCGGAATTAATATTTGTGGACAGATTAACTGTGCAGCTTGACCTTTTGGTTGCATTCCAGCTCCTGGAGGAAGTCTATTCAAGGCCATTCTCTTTATTTTACTGTTTTCTCGGCTCTGTGCCTACTTTTTTCCAGCTCTGCTTGCTTACTGTATTCAGTCCATTCCCACTCCATATACATGCCAGGACCAGGCTTCTTGGACAGACTGTTCTAGTCATAGCTCAGGTTTGGCTTTTTGTGCCACTTCATATTTTTACCCTTATTTTATTTGTGGGAGAGCAGCTCCAACAAATGAAGTGTAACTAATGGTGTGTTTCTCCTCAAGCCTGCAGTGTGGGCAGCAGATCAAGGAAATGAGACTGCAGCATGAAGAGAATATCAAGAAATTAATGGACCAAATTGCTCGGGAACAAAAGGTAATGCCAAAAAAGTTTGTGTTGAGTGAGAAGAGCCCAGAGCCTGCTGTTTGCCTCAGAGATGTGGAGGCCTGGGACATTTCTTCCCTAACTTTGTGTTCAGGATCCCCCTGAGCAGCCCTCAGTGGGTGTTAGTGCAAGAAATCTGCCTGCTGTGTCACCCAGTGGACTGAGCTGGAAGCTGAGGCCAAATTCTTTGCTGTGCTCCAGCCTTGCTCCATGATGTCACTGCTGAGGATTTCAGTTGTTGCCTGTAACATGGGTATCTCTGTTCAGCTCTCCAGGGTGGGATCTGTGTTCTCACAGCCTTGCCCAGGTTGCTGCAGAGGGAGCCTGAGCTCTGCTGAGGCCTCAGGTGCTAATGTGATGCAAATTGTGATGGTGCTGGAATGGTATCAAGGGTGTGATTACATCAAGCCAGTAGAAGTTGGGCCTCTTTCCTGCAAACAGATGCTTAAAATTTTGTTTCCTTACTTCATCTATAAACATCTCAAATAATAGGGCAGACTGAGAGCAAGCTTGTCACATCTTCTCTTACAGTCTAGAATTGTTTCAAGGCTCTGACCTGAGGCTTAAGGCTTACCTTAACCTGTTTTTGTTGTGCTTAACACCTGTGTATGGCAGTAGAAATGTCCTGCAGCTGTGCTGTGATGAACATTTTCTGTTCAGTTGTGTTTGCAGGGTCCAGCTTTGTGCATAGAGTGCTCTGCTCTTTGGTGATCACTGAATTCATAAATGCAGTTTTGCTGACCCAAATGAATCTTGATTTTGAGGATGTTTATTTTGTAATCTCCAGGGAAGTGTTTGATGTTGTCTCCCTATTTTTTCTAACAGGCCACACAAAAAGTTCAGTCTAGTAAAGACACTGCAGTCAGCCCCAGCAATGGTGACCAGGCAATCCCTGAGACCGTTGCAGAGGTGGAAGATAAAGACATTGTGAAGAATGAGGAGCCTTCAGAACATGTTGCAAATGGCAAAGGTATTTCCTTTTTTGGGCATTTGTGATAGAGAATGGGCCAGTTGGGTTGCATCCTTTGCCAGCCTCCAGACTGTGCATTTCTCTGAAGCAGAAGGAGGAATCGTTTGGCTCAGGTACATTGATTAGCTGCAGTGATTGTTCTAAATTAGAGCTTTCCACAAGAGGGAAATTCACGTTTCAGACTGAAGGGTTAGTAAGGCAGAATATCCTTTTCTTGTCTTGCAGAGAAAATCAAACCAGGAGGAGATGCAGGCATGCCTGAAATAGAAGATAATGACCCTGCTAAAGCTGAAGATACTCCCACTGGTGAGGAGAAATACTCTTCATTCTTTCACATTTGGGTCTTGGTGATGTAGATGTTGTGTGTGAACACCATGTGGTTCACAGTGAGTGCAGGCTTTTAAAATCTCTCTGTGGTAATAAAATTCAAGTGGGGTGTAAAATCAGATCATTTCTACTGTGCCTTAGAGGTTTGAATTCTCAAAATGGAATGTTTTGGATAATGCCCCTCCTGAAATCTTACCTTTTATATTTTCATTTATAAAATTATAAAAAAAAAAAAAGTTTACAGGATTGTTAGAGCAAGACCAGGTAAATAGTGTGTTTGTTTCACATTAATACTTTTGTCCCTGTGTTCTGTTTTAGCTTTAAAGAGGCCACTTATTTCAGCTCCTAAAAGTGAAGGTCACCAGCCTGCTATCAATCTTCCAACTGAACAGCCCCATGCTCCAAACCTGGCACCAGGTAAAATTCCTGTGAGCAGGTGAGGGGGGGCAGTATTTTGGTTACAAGAAGAAAACCAAGCATAAATTTCTGCAGGATCCAAGCCTGTGTTTTCACCTGGCTGAGGTACTTGGGCTGCTATTGTACGATCTCTTCTTGTATCCTCCAAACCAATAATTTCTGAGCCTTTTGACCAATCACACCTAAATTTGAGTTAGAAGTTTGAAAGATAAGTGCTTCAAGTGGACAGAGTAACTGAAATGCATGTTCCTCCTCAGGGTACTGATTAGGGCTGCACCAGCCCCTCAGGGGTTGGTTGTTGATCTCTTGGTAGCCACAATCAGATTTTCCTGTTGCCTGCTCAGTGTCCTCCTGTCCCTGGGAACAGCTCACTTGAGGGTGACATGGGGAAGGTTTAGGGCATGAGAACTTAAAAGTCCTGCAGTGGCAGGGTTTGAAGGAATTGCAATTAGAAGAGAGACAAACCCAAAGAAAATAAACTCCGTGTTTGATAAGTCGCTTGAAGGTCAGAGAAGATCAGGTGATGCCTGCACTGCAGGTGGCTTGTTCCAGTCCTGTCCTGCTGAAATTCAGAGTGTAACTTCCCATTTCACCGTTGTAGGTTTGCCCAGTGACAGTGATGGAAACGCTGACATTGCCAAGCAGATCCCTCCAAATTCCCTCCAGCACTTGAATTTTGAAGAAAATGTGGACACCCAGAAGGAGCACAAGGTTGAGCCAGACCAGATAAAAATCCCAAAGAGCCGAGTTAGTGACTTGCAGAAGATTAAGCAAAGTAAGTTGGCCAATATCACACACCTCAATATATTAAAAAATCTCTTCATTTTTTATCTGTGTAAGTACCTGTCTGGAAAATGGGGACCATTGCAGAGGGTGACTTCAGAGAGGGAGTCTGAGAAGGAATATAATGTGTTCCTGAGTAAAGGGTAGGCTTTAATATGATGTTTTTCACATGTACATTCAGTTATTTAAAAAGATCATTTCCATATCAGAATTTAAGATGTTTTTGGAAATTACTGCATGGTTAAATTGTTTAAGTCAGAACTTTGATAGATGCAGGATGCTGATTTACTCACTTTATTACTTGACTTCAGTACACTTCTTGGACAATATTCTAGGAGTTTGGTCAAAACTGAGAAAAGTTTGGTTGTTTTAATATCACTCATAGAACTTTGTGATGGAGCAGGGACAAGTGTATTACAAATTGTCACAGAACCTGGGCAGGCCTGGCTTCCATTCTGTGTATCCTGAGGTGTGCAAGGCTCCTTATTTTATGAAAGCAGCTTCTGGAAGAAACTTCTGGAGTGAGAACTTCTCATTTCAGTGGTTGGGTTTGTTAATGGTTGTCTCTCTTCCCTGGTCACAGATGAAATGATGGGGGTAGTTGGAGCTGGGAAATGTCTCCATTGTGGGCTGGGAGGGGGTACCTGCGGGTCAGGAATTGTGCCCACTTAGTCTCTTCTCTTCGGAATAACTCTGGTTGTGGGCTTTAACAGTGCCATGAGGGAGAGATTTTATCATGGAAGGAAATCGCTGATCTAGGTTTGTGTAAGGGTCTGTCCTGATGCTCAGAGAGGTCCATTGGTGACAAACTCACCCCTGGTATGGAGGAGCCCAGCTGTGGCCCAGCCCTGCAGCTCCCACCGTGGGCAGGTGCCTGGCTGGTGTTGGTGACTGAGGGCTGTGAAGCAGAGGGTGCAGAGTGGGACCGGTCAGCCTGGGGGAGAGAAGAGCCTGGGGAGACCTTAGAGTGCCTGAAGGGGCTCCAGGAGAGCTGGACAGGGACTGGGACAAGGCATGGAGGGACAGACACAGGGAGTGGCTCCCACTGCCAGAGGGCAGGGATGGGTGGGAGATTGGGAAGGGTGACAGGGGCTGAGATGGAATTCCCAGAGCAGCTGTGGCTGCCCCTGGATCCCTGGCAGTGCCCAAGGCCAGGTTGGACGGGGCTTGGAACAGCCTGGGGCAGTGGGAGGTGTCCCTGCCATGGCAGGGGTGGCACTGGGGGAGCTCACCAGCCTGACTGTGCTCCCTGAGCTCAGTCTGTAGCCCTTGTGGGCCTGCTGCATTTCCTGGGATCTCTTCATCAGCTCCAACCTTTCCTTCTGTCAACTTCAATTCATTTGTCACAGTGTCTCTGGCTACCCACGGGCTGGTTTTGCTGGAAGTTGGGTACATGCCCTTGTCTTCCATGGCTCAGTTTGGGTTTAACATGAGCAAATCCCACTGTCCTACCTGGGTTTTGTATATAATGCAGTGTCAAAAATACCAACAGGATCACTCCATTAGACATGAACAGGCAATGAATAATGTATGGAACTTTGGATTTCTAAACAGATTGTGGGTGTTTTTCTTGCTTGTTTTATGACAATACCTGAAACTGGTGCTCCTGTACGTTTGAGGTGTGCTAGGTGTGATTCTGCTGCTTTTCCCCATACAGAGAAGCAGGATGGTACTGCTTCTGTCCTAGTTTTTACATACACCTTATTTTAGGGAATAATTTTACTGGTACATCTGTCCATTTTTAAGCCTGATGTTGAAATCATGCTCCAGTTTTACTTCTCCATTAGTTCTTGCACTGGGAATCATCACCTGCCCTGGCAGCCTTGGTGCCCAGTGTGCAGGAATTGTATCACACTTTATTCCCATCTTTCCCATTTACACAGAGTCTTCCAGACCAGTGACCTCTGCAGACTCAGAGCTGCTTCCCCTCAGCACTGGGCTGGAGGAGATCTCCCTGTATCCCATTAAACAGCAGCTCTGAGCTGACATCTCACCAGTAATCTCTCGCCGTGTGCCTGGCTGATTGCCTGCTTGTTCTGTATTTCCAGCTGATTCCTGTTTTTCTTGTGCATTGTTTCAGGATCTGAAACCACTCTTAAATTTTTGTTGGGAGACGAAAATACTGGATTTGGGGCATTTTGGAAGCGGTCACAGCTTGCTAGGGAGGCAGAGTGTAAAGCCAGCTGGAGTTTCCAAGCCGGGCAGTGAGGGCAGGCCTGTGCTGGGCTCCCTCCCGTGCCAGCAGGGCACCCTCTGCAGGGCACCAGGGCAGCACTGGCTGGCTCCAGGGTGTGCAAAATGCCAGGCCTCAGCAAATTGGCTTCTGACCCTTCCAAGAGTGAGAGCTCTTGTGCTTTTTGAGGATTCTTGTGTTGGTGCCTGTGGGCAATCCAAGGTGGAGCTGTTTGGTGCTCGCTCAGCCCTTCCTGTGGAGGGAGGAGTGTGGGACAGTCAGGTGTCACGAGGGTCACACAGAGGTGTCACCTGCACTGAGGTGCTCCAGGAGCCTTGTTCAAGCCCTGCCCCAGCCCTCTCCCCTCTCCCCCCCCTTTCTCTCCAGCTGGATCTGCCACAGACCCCACTGCCTCCCCTGCGATCTGCTCTCGTGTAGGATCTCCCTGTTTCTTTCCTCTCTGCTGCTGACTCACTCCTTTCCTACTCCACAGGCCGGTTCTTTGATGAGAATGAATCCCCTGTGGACCCGCAGCAGGGTTCTAAACTGGCAGATTATAATGGGGATGATGGGAACGTGGGTGAGTATGAGGCAGACAAACAGGCCGAGCTGGCTTACAATGAGGAAGAGGATGGTGATGGTGGAGAAGAAGACGTCCAAGGTGAGCTTGGGCCTTACCTCCATCCCATTGTGATAAATCCATGCTGAGTTACTTGTTGAATTTGTGTAAAGCCTCTCTGGTTTAGCTGATCACAAATTGCTCAGACAGAAAAAACAAGCTTGAAATTTGGTCTCGCTCTCTGTGGGACAGCAGCAATGCAAGTCGTGAGAGAGAGGGTTTTGGCATCTCACTGCAGTTGTCTATAGCTCCTGCTAGGAAAAGCAAGAGTCCAAATTCCAGACATGGTTTTACCCAAACCCCCAGCTCTGGTCTCTGGCTGTGAGGGCTTTGGGCCTTGACATTGTTAAATTGTCAAATAGAGGAATGAAGTGGTTTGATTCCTGCTCTTGTCACACCTGCCTGGAGCTGGTGTGCAGTGAGGCCTCAGGTGGTGATTCCAGGTGTCACTTTGTGCATTATACACAGATTCAACAGGCTTGTGGTGTTCTGCTAACCCACCCTGGAGCTCCTCATCCAGTGCTGCCTAACACCTGTGTGTGCATGGCCATTCCCTGCCCTGCATGCAGCTCCTGCATCACCTCCCTCGCTTGCCTCTGCCTGCCTTGTCTGCCTTCTCCATCCACTCTTGGGGGATATTTGGGACAGGCCTGCATGTCTGCAGGGTGAGGATGTTGGGTAAACAGAGAGTATTTCCAGTTAAATGGAAGTGTAAAATAAAGAGGGGGGAAAAATAGGAAATGGGAAATAGGAAACAAAAATCCTACAGGCCCCCTGATTTTGACGCTCATAAGTTATATAAGTTAATAAGTTTTTAGCTGGAGGTTTTTCAGGCACTGTATTTAACTGGAATCTAGGCAAAATGAATGGGCAAAGCCAGCAGAGAGCAGCTGACTGTGTGAGCATGCAGCTGAGTGCAGTGTCAGCAGGCTGGGCTGGGCTGGGCTGGCAGTTTGAAACTCGTGCACAAGAAGGAATGGGATGGACCAGAACCTGTGCCAATTGATTACCTTATCAATGGACTGCAGTGGCTGCTGCTCCAGCTGCAGGCTGCTGCGTGCCCCTCGTGCTCAGGACTCGCAGGGGGTTTGTGTGTCTGGCACGTGGTCCCTGGGCTGGCAGCTGGGCACAGGGGCATGCAGAGCAGCCTGCTCCAGTAGCAGGTGTCCCTTGCCAAGGCACTTTCCATGGGAGCCATGCTGGGCGCGGTGGGCAGGGAGTGCAGGGTCTCCTGTGTGTCCCTGAGCCCTCAGTGGGTCCTGCCCAGCTCCTCGCTGCAGGAGTTCCTGACCTGGGCTTCAGGATGCAGCTGTGGAGGTTGTGGCTGCAGCTGAGTCTGTGCTGCTGGTGCCATCTGCCTCGCTCAGTGGAGGTGCTCTGGACAGCCCTTGCTGTGAAGGAATGTTCCAGTATCCAACCTGAGCCTCCCCTGGCACAACCTGAGGCCATTCCCTCTTGTCCTGTCCCTTGTTCCTTGGGAGCAGAGCCAGACCGTGGGTGGCTGCCACTTCCCTGTCCCCATCCCACAGAGCTCTGTGCTGCTCCATCAGTGAGTACCTGGCTGTGGGGTCTTGAGGGGGAGCTGGTGGCTCAGGCAGCAGGGATTGAACAGCTGCACTGACAGGGACAGCATTCCCCAGTGCCTCTTTGGAAAGGGTGGGTGTGATACAGCTCTAAGTGGTGGGAAAATGTGAAACCCCAGAGACTGGGCTTGTGTAACTTGCAGTGTGAGTGGTGTTTGGAAGAACAGAGCTCTGACTGACAGTGACCCCATCAAACATTTCCATTCCAGGTGGGGTCCCTGCAAGGTCCCTGCTCTGGTGGCTTGGGATTTGAACTTGGGGAAGGTCCTTCTGCTGATGAACCCCTCTTTGTCTCTGTATAGACAGACTGGATTAAGAGCTGGGGTTATAGGGTGACTTCTGAAAGCTTCTTCCTGTGGGATCATTTGAACAGATGTGTTTCTACCTCAAACCACATTTCCCAAGCTTTGTTCTGTTGTTCCTCAATAACTTGTCGTGTTGGCTTGAGCTGTGATTTGAGGGTGGCTGGTGGAGCTTCTAGGGCAGTATTCCAGAAAGAGTGCCCTGCTTCAGGCTTTATACTGATTTGTCTGCAGGGCAGGAGAGGGCAGAATGGGGGTTGAAGGGAGGGTGGTTATAATTGTTTAGGGAGGGGAAAAAAGAAACGAGAATTTCTGTCTAAAAACTGTCAGGTAAACATCACCCGGGTCTGCATCAGGCTGAACAAAGCCTGTGGCATGTGCTGCAAAGCCACTGGATTCCACATGGCTTCTCTTGCCTCCAGGAATGTGCAGGCTTAGACTGAAATTTTCCAGGGGAAATAGCCAGTTTGGGTGATGTTCCTTGGGGCAGGGCAGCACCAGCCTGGCTCTGCCCTCAGGCACCTGCTGAAGGGCAAGGGGATGTTTGAAGGTGGCAGCTTCTACAATGTCTGTTAGTGATGGCTGGATGGCGGAGGGGGGTGACTCCAGGGCATCCAGGTGCTGTGGTGGCACTTTCTTGTGGAACAAACCTGTGTCATGCAGTGAACTCCAGCCTTCTGCTGCTGGAGCAGCCCCTCAGGCCCCTGCCTGGCTCCCGGGGTGCTGGGTGGGAAGGGGTGCAGAGATCCAGGTGGAGCTGGGGGAGCTCAGCTTGGATTTCCTTTGCTGTGAACAAGAGTCTTTCCTGATGAATAGCTCTGAGGTACAGGAAAAGCTTATGAGTTGGAACAAATGGAAGTTTTAGGGTTTTTCACTTTTTGAGTGAGGGAGGCCCTTGGTAAGGAAGGGGTCCCAGTGACTTCCCTGTGCTAGTCCCTGAGGTTCCCACCCTCTGTGAATGGTGTCAGCTGTGGGCATGGCACTTGGAGCAGGGTTTAGTGGGGGAGTTTGAAAGCTTGATAGGCAGTGTCAGAGGCAGCAGCTGGTGTGGCAGTGCTGCAGGGTCTGCAGCCAGGCAGTCTGTGAGCTGGGGCTGCCCTGCAGCACTCACAGCTGGGCTGGACACATCCTGTCACTGCCCTGGCCAGCTCAGGGCTGTGCCCTTTAGCAGCGTGTCCTGGGAACTGCACTTGGGTGTTTTCTCAGTGATACCAAATCAGATCTGACCCGAGCATTTCAGTTGCGATCTAATTGCAATGTGTAATTGCAGATGACGAGGAGCGAGACCTGCAGAACGACCTGGGGGACTACAGCAAGTCCCGCCTCAGCGAGGGGGTCCTGTAGGCCCCGGGCACAGAGAGCTCAACCCAGGACCCTGAGGTGCTGCAGAACTGGACCTGTTTTACTCCAGTGTTTCCTGCTTCCAGGGAAGCTGAGGATCAAGTGCCGAGAGTGCTCAGCAGCAGGAGGAGAGGACCCCCTCTGTACATATGTACATATTTGTACTGTTGCAGGTTGTATTAAACCCACATCTTTGCTGTTACATGGAGCTGGTTACTCAGCCTGGTCCTTACCTGTAATAATCTCTACACTTAAACCCAGTCTATAAACACAGGCTGAACTGTTTCTGCCACGTGGAACACTCGGAACCCAGAGAACTTGTACAGTTTGTACCTGATGTAACAAAGCCACTGTGGAAGCCACGTACAGCCAAGAACTCCTTTTCTACAGTCCCACCTGTGTGGCAGAGCTGCTGCTCCCGAGTGCTGGGGCTTGTACAGCAGTGAGAATGGCATGTCAGAGGGACTGGGAACTGAATGGTGCAGTAACTGCTGCTTCCTCACTGCAACCCAGCACCACATCCCACTGAACTCCTGTGCAGTGACCACATCTCCTAGCTAGAGCTGCAAATCTGTAGTAGGACTTGAGTAATTCGATACATCCCAAAAAAGCTGTGCAACTAATAGCTCGATTTAAAAGGTGATAGAAATAATTTGCAGCTTGTAGGAAATCCTTGTGTTAAAGAGGGTAAGTGTGTCAGAGAGACACATCTCCAGCAGCTGTGTCAGCCCCTGGATGGAAGGACCAGCCTTAGCCCAGGTAAACACGCTGTGGGGGCTGGTTTGCTGTCCCAGTGTCCATCCCAGCTCCAGCCACTCCAGTTCATTTCCAGTTCAATGCCCTGATCCTGAGCACCCAGCACATCCCACGGTTTGGTTTCCTCCATCAGACCTGTAAGTCAGACCCTTTTCTGTATTCTGTATTCACACTCAGAATTGATGGGGATGATTCCATTGCTCTGCAGTGGTGGGAATGAAGGGGATTGTCCCCCCTGCTCCCCCAGGACACAGGCTGATGGCCCTGGTGAGGGTGATTGAACTCATCCCTGTGCTCTGGTGCTGGGCTGAAGTAATGGGTCAGGTTTGCTCCTTGGCAGCTCAGTGAACCTCTTAAATAAAGTTCAATGCTTGTACAATTATCTTACGGGTTTTTAAGACAGTTTATTATTACTTCAAGTGTCAATGGCAAAATAAAATTCCTCCCAGTTTCTGCATTTAAAAAGTGGAACTCCAGCTCAGCGCCATGTCCTGGTTCCAGCTGAACCCCACATTCTCCAAAGTAGTGCAGCATCACATGGCACAGCTTGGGAGACCCCTAAACAGAGAGCTACTTCTGAAATGTTGCCATGAGCCCATTGTGTACTCACAGCTTCAGCTGCTTTTCCCTTCCGTGCCCATCACCAGGACCATCCCTTTTGGGCCCCTGTGCTGAAGGTCACTTGCTCCATGTTCCTTCTCCTCTGCCTTTTCTTTTTCTTGCATTCCATGTTTTCTCTTTTTTTCCTTTTTCTGTCAGAGCGATTACTCTGCTTCACCCTTGTGCAGCCACACCTGGAGCATTGTGTTCAGTCCTGGGCTCCCCAGCTCAGGAAGGGCAAGGGGCTCTGGTGAGGGTCCAGGAGGCCACAAGGACGCTGAGGGGTGTGGAGCCCCTCTCCAAGCAGGAGATGCAGGGTGGTGGGCTCACAGGTGCCCCTGCAGCCGGGCTGTGCAGGCTCTGGGCACAGAGCAGCTCGGTTTGTTGTGAAATGCTGCTCAGACATCCCTGTGCCGTTTGTGTGCAGCGCTCCCGTTGCCATGGCAATGCAGCACCGACAACGCTGACAGATCTCGAGCAGCTGCTTCCCTCAGCACCAGCGAGACTGCGACCAAACTGGCTCTCACACTGCAGAAACCCAACAAAGCCTCTGCCCACCACGGCCAGCCCACGTTTCAGCCAGCACACCCAGTGCTGGGCCCGAGGCTCCACTTCCAGATCCCTTGGGATCCACGTGGCAATGCATTTCAGACAGCAGGGAGCTGAGATCCCACTGCCAGGGCTGAGTTCAGGCAGTGTCAGAAACGCCAGAGAAACAACTCCAGTTACTCCAGCCAGTCCTCGCTGCCCAGATTTGGAGGTTTTCAGCGAGCAGACTCTGCCAAAGCTTTCCCGAAGTCACATGGATCCCACAAAAACAACCAATCACTGGTGAACCCATTTTAATTTCAAAATGAGGAAAACCAAACTGATGGGCAGGATCTTGCCAAAAGGTAAAACCCAGTTCTGGATGAAACAAACCCTCATAGCTTTCAGCATCTTAATAGCCATGAAGAGCTGAAGATACTTTGAGGTAACAAGAAACAAAAAGACATAAGATAATGGTTTGTGGATTTTATTAAATGTTATCATTTTATATTTTCATATTTGCAAACCCAGCAACAGTGGGAAATCCAAAGCCTGCAGGACAGAAGAGCTGGTGAGTGTTCTGAAGTAGTACATGCAGAAAGTACAAAAGGTTTCTTCTCTATAAATCTGTTTACTGCCTGTTTGCAGTTTGCACAATGGACTGAGTGATGCTCATTCATGTGGTGGTTGGAGGTCCTGAGCTCTCAGCAGGACCCACTTCCCTGTACACACACATCTCTGAAGAAATTATCTGAAAACTTTCTCCTTTATCCCTTTTAAGGAGAATTTCCACATGCCATAAATCTGCCAGCTGCAATCCCTGCTCCAGGAGATACACGGAGCCTTCAGTAACCTGGCACCCACACAGGGAACTTCCAGCTGAAGTGACCTGGGGACCCTTCCTTGAGGAGACTGACCAAAATATTCATAGGATCAAATCTGGCTGCAGTGAACTAGAAAATGTGAGATTAGGCACTTTATAAGGAGGAGCAGTGTCCTGCTGTTCCAGCTGGCTCCAGCACTGAGACCAGATTTCTGTAGTTTAAATAAAACAGGAAAACAAACCCACAAAACCAACCGGGGCCATCTCTCCCTATTTAGGAGAGTGCAGTGGAATTTTCAAGCCAGCCAGAAACAGAGTAATGATATTTATGCCTGAACATTTTTATGCCAATATAGAAACCATAATACTCTAATTCCTCAACCTATATGAAACCCTGTATAGCCACACTGGGATTACTGGGATGGATAATCTACAGTTTAACTTCCCAAAAGCAGGTTTGACTACTGGTGGCTGTGCATTTCCATCCCTGCAGGAATGTCTCATGCCACTCTCTGGTGCTGCACTGTGCCAGATCAAACACAAGGCTCATTCCCATGTGTTTCTGCGGGCTTTGGGAGCAGATGAATCCCTGGTGCTGTCAGCTGGAGTGTCTGCAGTGAGAGCAGCGAGCCTGGAGCTGCTCCTGGACAGCCAGACGGGCTCCCAGACGCCGGGGATGGAGCAGCAGCACAGCCTGGGAGCTGCTGCTCTCACCTCTGGTCAGCTATCCGATGGAACTGCTCCCCTTCAGAAAGGCAACAGGGACAGCAAACACTGGAAATGGGCAGTTGTAACACATAAACCCAAAGAAGACTCCTGAATTTGCTGAGAAGTGCCAGATACTGAAGTTAAACTGAAAGTGGAACTGGAATAAACCCCACCCAGTCCTGAGCTGAAGATGCTGCAAACACCTGCCCCACATGAGCTCTGCACCACCAGGGAGCTCACTCTGGAGCACGTCAGTTTATATGGTGTATAAACACAGAGCTAAGGGCTCTGCAAGGCTCGGGGGGACAGAGCTGGAGGAAATCCCAAACCCTGAGGAATGCCTTCCAGGAGCAGTTGGGATCCAGTGCAGGAATGGGCAGTGGTCTGACAAGGGCACATTTCCCCTTCAGTGTCTCTCTGAAGGGAAGCAAACGTGCTCCTCAGATGTCCCAGGAGCCCAGATCCTGTGGCCAGGGGAAGCCCACTGCTGCCAGCTCAGCCTCTTCTTCAGCCCAAACAAACACACATCTGAGCTCTGTGTGCCAGCACAGGGTTTCACACTGCCCACGGGGCTGAGGCTGTGCTCCATGGGGACATCTGAACGCCTCCCTGCACAGCAGCACCATCAGCAAGGAGATTTTCCACATCCCCTTTCCTGCCAGTCCACCCCCTTCTCCCTAATTCAGCACCAGGGAACTCGAGGAGAGCATTAGGTACTGTGAAAAACAAATTTTGATATCCTGTTACACAGAAAAGGGCAGTTCTCTTTGCCATAAAGATCAGTTTGAACCCTGAGTCACACGTTTGATCTCTTGTCAGAGTGTTTTTGGCATGCTGGTGCTCACACATACCTGCTTGCTTTGAATCTTGCTGGATCAGCTCTTCTGGCCGCTTGTTTCATTTTAATTACATGGCTTGAGAGCGTATTTCCACCCACCATTTCCCAAAACTCCCACTTTCTAAGTATCAGTGACTGTCCTTTTGGGGTGACAGTGTGAGACATCACACAGTTATCCTGCCATACAGGTTCCTCCTCAGGGACTGCCAAACCATCTTAATGAGGCTCCAACATGCCCAAACTAACCTTTTTCACAGCTGATCATTCACAAAATATTCACAAGAAATACCTGAATGCTCTAAAGGAATATGGTTCCCTGTTCTGAATGTGTTTCCACTGCCTTCCTACAACCTCTTTTCTATGGTAGAATTAGCTTTATAGTTCTATGGTAAAATTAGCTTTATAGTGTCTTCTGTTAAAGACAGACTAGCAGAGTCCTGTGACAGAATTCTAAAACAAATCTTGGCTTCACAGCAGCAGATGTACTTCTCTTTAACAAGCCAATGAATATTTTAGGTGACTAGAAAGCTGGGACTTCTATAATGTGTTCAAAAGCTAAGCAGGGAGTCAACGGGTACCAGGAAACACAACACCCGTGTAAGTTTCTTCACTGCTAAATTAGAGGATGCCAGATAGTCCTGTAAAAACCTTCTACTCTGGGCAGTACCTTGAGATGTTATCCTGTCATAACACAGGGGTACCTGAAAACCGATTTCTGCTGCAAAGACTGGTAAGTAAAAGTGATCATCAAAAGAAAAATTAAGATATCCAAGTTCAGTAGCACTGAGCTGAGAAATTAACCTCACTACATGCTGCTGTACTGCAAGAGATGGCCAAGCTGCTTCATTAAGCCCTTCAAATAGTAAAGCACGCAGCATCCTCAGCATTTCCCACACAAAGAGGCTGCCTAGAAAAAAAAAAGAGAAAGCGGAAATAAAACTTCACAACACTCTCCACAGGCGACTTAAAACAGCAACCGAAACCGCAAGCCAGCGCTGCCCTACGCTTGGGGAATGGGACGGAGGG